ATTTATTTATTTATTTTTTAAATGCTTTTTTGATTAATTTTTAGAGAGAGAGGAAGGAAGAGGGAGAGAGAGCGAGAGAGACATAATTGGTTGCCTCTTGCACACACCTCGACTGGGGATTGAACCCACAATCTGGGCATGTGCCCTGACCAAGAATCAAACCAGTGACCCTCTGGTGTATGGGACAGCACTCAATCAACTGAGCCACACTGGCCAGGGCTATGTTTTTATTTTTAATAAGGTGAAATATTCTTACTTGAGCAAAGAGACAATAATCAGTAGTATTTCATTATGGCACATTACAATGATTTGAACTGAGATGATGTCATTTTAATAGAGTTTAGTTCCTAATTTTGTAATCAAGCTATAAGTGTTTGCATTATTGTATGTAACATCCTTTAGCAAAATCTAGTCCTTAGATAATTTTAAAAGTATTCAACCAAATATTAATTAATGCTTTGATGTTTACTCATCTTGCTAGTGGCACAGTGCTGTTAATTCAATAAACGATGGCTATTGAGTGAAATTTTATGTTTCAACTAACATTTTGAATGGTTCAGTAAACCTCAAGTAACTGGAGGGCTTAGGCAATGGAGTGTTCTTATTTAGCTCAATTTTGTTATTAAGTGAGGGTTTGTTTGAAATTTATAAAATATTCCAAGATATATTAGTGTTCTTTATGAATTAAATTCAGTTTTTCTTTGATTGAATATCTTTTGATATATGTCAGGGTCAACATATAGTTGGAAAAACTATTTCGTTGACTGTACCATTTCATTTTTCCTATTCTACTTTTGCATCATCTCACTGAGTGATTGAATGTGTTCTTTTATCTATGCGGTGTTGATTTACATCCATAGTTTCAGCCCAGAATTTTTTTCCTTGAGTTCCAGATCCACATCAAAATTCCCACTAGATATCATCACTTGGGTATTCCATAGGCATGAATTTATGTATGTATTTATGTGAAATATTTTCTTTACAATTTTATATTTCAATTTCAGTTGACATTCAATATTATTTTATATTGGTTTGCTCTATACAGCATTGTGGTTAGACAGTTATATAATTTACAAAGTGATTCCCACAATAATTCAAGTAATGACTTGGCACCATTCATAGTTATTTCCAGTATTGTTGACTGTGTTACTTATGCTGAACTTTACATCCTGTGGCTGTTTTGTAATTACCAATTTGTACTGCTTAATCTCTTCACCTTTTTCAGCCAGCTCCCCAACTTTCCTCCCCCTAGCCACCATCAATTTGTTCACTGTCTCTATGAATTTGTTTCTGTTTTGTTTGTTTGTTTATTTATTTATTTATTTTGTTCTTTAGATTCCACATATAAATGAAATTATATGGTATTTGTCATTCTCTTTCTGACTTATTTCACTTAGCATAATACCCTCTAGGTCCATCCACGTTTTTGCAAATGGTAAGATTTCATTATTTTTTATGGCCAAGTGATATTCCATTGTATAAATGTACCAGTACTTTTTATCCACTCATCTATTGATGGGCACTTGGGTTGCTTTTATATCTTGGCTATTGTAAATAATGCTGCAATGAACATAGGGGTGCATATATTCTTTCCAATTAGTGTTTTGGGTTTCTTTGGATATATTCCTAGAAGTGGAATATCTTGGTCAAAAGGCAGTTCTATTGTTTTCCTTGAGGAACCTCCATATTGTTTTCCTTGAAACCTTCATCCCTGGGTTCTGTGGCACTGCCCTTGCTAGGATCTCCTCCTAATGCCTGACTTAATTCAACAACCCTTTTGTTGGTTCCTCTTCTTCTGTAGGTTCTTGAAATGATGGTTTTCTGAAGGTTTCCCTCCCAACCTACTGCTCTTCTCACTATGCATTAAGGTTCCTGACTCTTTGGTTAAGACCCTTTAAACAATTTGTTGAAAATTGTAGAATCTTTGTCTGCCAAAATATAGATAGGCCACATACATACAAAATTTAGTGTAAACTTTCATGATCCACCAGAAGCCATATTAAGAATTTGCTATATTCATTCTAGCTGGGTGATATTCATTCTCATGGTTTCATTTGTCTCTTTTATACAGATAACTTCCAAATCTCTTAAATCAATCTTGGCTTCTCTTTATAACTTAAGATGCACATTCTTTCTGCATTCTTTAATTGCCTGGGTTGATCCTTATGACCTCTCACCCAGACCACTGCAATAGCTTCTAACTCTTCTCCCTGCCCCAGGCTTGTGTCCCTGAGATCATCCTCCACAGAACCCCCAGTGGTTTATTATTCTGACCTTTACATCTCTACGGTCGGATTCTCTATATTCTATGGAAACAGTAAAAACTCTCACATGACATACACCCTCCCATACCATCTCTTTTGTGAGAGATCTTTCTTGCTTACTATACTCTGTGCCTATCTTCATTATTGTATAGACTTTAATAGAAAACCCTTTTTTCAATGCTATCAGAATTGAGAGTAGAGCAGTTAATTGAAAAAGTTGATTAAAGGTAAAGTTATTAAAAATACATACAAGAAAAAGTTATGGATAAGCAAGGAATTTGATTTCAAGGAAAATGCTAAGGAACATTTAAATTACCTTCCGCTTAAGATTTATATGCTACAGAAGAGTAGATTTTACAAACTTCTGTAAAGATTCATTTATACCAATAATGTTTGATTTTTTTTAATTCTGATGAATCTTTTTATTAAATTAAAAAAGAATATTACTGCCCTGGCTGGGTGTCTCAGTTGGTTGGAGCGTCCTGTACACTGAAATGTTGTGGGTTCAAGTTCTGGTCAGGGCACATACCCTGGCTGGGTGTCTCAATTGGTTGGAACATCCCATACACCAAAAGGTTGCAGGTTTGATCACTGGCTGGTTGGGGCACATATTGGAGGCAACCGATCAATGTTTCTCTCTCACATCAATGTTTCTTTTTCCTTTTCTGTGTCCTGTCCTTCCTCTCTCTCTGGAATCAATGAAAGCATCCTTGGATGAGGATTAAAAAATTACTTTTATGTTAAAAAATACATGCATACTTGAAACATTTTATTTAAACTGAAAACATATAAAGACAGTCATTTGCCATTTTTTTTCATATATGACCAAGGCATTTTCATTGAGTGTGGGTATGTTCATTCTTGATTAAACTGAACCCAGAAAGCATTCTCTAGGTTTTTGGTTTAAATGAAAATTTTTGTTTGAATGGAAGAACTTAAAGTTGTGCAGCAATCCGAGTGCAGAATCCTAGATTTGTGTGACTTTTCCCCCCACCAATTTCAGTTGCATTGTCCATATCTAGTTCAATAGTAGTTTGCTATTCTAATGGAGACTTACTTTTATAAAGTCTTTCCAAAGCATTAAATCTTAGAAATAAGTTATCTGTGTTTTTATGTTTTGTTTTTATTTTTGTTTTTTGTTTTTTTAGAGAGAGAGAGAGGAAGAGAGAAGGAGAGAGAGAGAGAAATATTGATTGGCTGCCTCCTGCACACCTCCTACTAGGGATCAAGCCCACAACCTGGGCATGTGCCCTGACCAGGAATGGAACCAGTGACCTTTTGGTGCATGGGACGACACTCAACCGACTGAGCTACACTGACCAGGGCCAGTTGTCTTTGCTTTTTTTTTTTTTTTTTTAATTTTGTTTTTTTTATCCTCACCCGAGGATATTTTTCCATTTTTTGTACAGATAGAGTGGGAGGGAGAGAGAGGAAGGGAGAGAGAGAGAGAAACATCGATGTGAAGGGACACATCGAGTGGCTGACCCCCGCACGACCAACCAGGGCCGGGGACAAACTGCAACCGAGGTACGCGCCCTTAGCGGGAACCGAACCCAGGTCTCTCCGGACCGCAGGCCGACGCTTTAACCGCTGAGCTAAACTGGCCAGGGCTGTCTTTGTTTTTTAAATTACATTTTGTTAGTTTGGTAGCATTTCATGAAAGTATACTTATAATACAAGAATGTGATTTGTGAACATCCCCTCAAGTGAGGGGAGTAGAGGCTGCTTCATGAACAGAATGCTGTAGATATTAATCACTTTGTAGTGGGAATGGACATTGTATTGATTAATATGGCAAAGTTGGTTGAATGCAGGTTGGTTAAGAGATTTTTCTACTGTAATTATTTTTATTGCTTATCTCCCTTTATATTAATATGAGTTTTATAAGGCAAGGGCTATATATTTTTTTCATTTTTGTATATCTAACCTGTGCACAGTGTCTACCATTTAGTAGATATTGTGTTTGCTGGATGAATGAACAAATTCTTATATAGGTCATATAAATTTGAATAATCAGAAAGAACACTGGACTAGGAATCGGTTAGTATAGACAGATCATTGGCCCTGGAGCCAAACTGAGGTTCAAATCCTTTCTCTTTTACATTCTTGAACAGATTACATTGCATTTTTTCATTTGCCGAATGGGAATACAGTAACAAGTTTTGGGTCGTGTGAGGATTAAATGTGAATTTATAGTATCTAGCATAGTATTTGACAAAGTAAGCAGTCAACAAGTACAAATTGTCCTGATGATGCCTGTCACTAATTAGATGGACGAGTTCACTACGTGTATCCTTTTCATCAACTCATTTGATGGTCATAACCTTACACCTTGAAAACAAATATTTTCAGACTTTGGACATCATTTGTTAGTGAGTTGAATTCTCTAATAAAGTGTGAAGAACAGCTCAGCCCTACTAATCACTGTCATACTATCTACATAAGAGATAAACTAGGAGGTAGAATAGGAAGTTCTGAGGAGGTTGGAAGCATTAGCTTAGAAGAAGTGAGATAAAATTAAGCTCTTGAAACTATATTTATGGATATGTTCTTCCCGATTAAACAAAATAGTGATAGCATGAGAAAGAGGAAACAAGACATGTGTTTAGGAGTGGCTCTGAGATTGTTTTCCATTTTCCATTTCAAATTTGGTTTGTTTAAAGAAGTAAGTGAATTAGCAGAATTCCTTTCAGTATTCATTCTGTAGCTGATGCTAATACTTAGTTTTTATTGCAGTTATATTGAATATGGAAGAAGACGGGCTTTTTGGAGAAAAAGCATTCCAGCATTACTGCGCAGAATTCATCAAACACTCACAGCGAATAGGTGATGGTTGGGAATGGAGAACTTCAAAGGTAAGAACAGGAAATTTTATTTCCTAGTTTGGTGGAATTTCCTTTTTCTTTTTGCTCTGTAAACCCTTAGTAATTAAAACTAATGTATGAAAGCTAGCTTGATTTAGTAAAAGGCTTAAATTGAAGGATGTTTTAAAACAGATGTCCATTTTATTACTTCAACAATATATACTCATTATAATTAGGCTAATGAAGTATTATCTAGAAAAGTCTTTAGGTGACTTGTTTTAATTTAATAGATAAGAATGCTTAGCATATTAATTATCTGAATATAAGCAGATGCTTCTGTGGTGCTTCAAACCATTTGTTTACACTATTAATTTTCTTAGGAAACTACCTTTGTCTAGAGACTGAAAAGATAGTCCTGAAACCAAACAACAGTCAAACAATCACAAATTCTGAAATACTGAGGACCATGTTAATTGGGATTTTCTTTTTCTTTACTTTTATTGTTGACAAAATTGGGCATTTTTAAATAGTATAAACACATTTTAAACATTCTTTCTTTTGGTTTTATTTAGTAGTAATGAAAAGGCCTATGTACTCATTTATTTTTACACATATATTTAGTAAGGTTCTCTGTCAAAAGCTTTTTAAGTTTCTTGAAATCCCCTTCTTAGAGAATAAGTTTTCTCGATTTGACATCGTACCTGATTTCTGAAAAAGTGATGAATCTCAATTCTGCACTGATTGGCTCTGTTTCCTATCTGCACTCTGAGAAACATGAACAGTTCTGAGCTGATTTCTGTGTTTCAGAACTAGGCCAGGGACATGCAGGTCTTGATTGGGCCTAGAGTGTCACTGGGGAGAGAAGCCGTAATTTCTTCTTGGGTCATATGTCGACTAGGCTTTGACACTGTAGCTCATGGGATGGTTCAGAGTTGTGGTAGAGTCCAGCACTACTCTCTGTTAGGGATGGCACGGTCCATACGCCCCTGGCGTGTCTCCTGCTCCAGGATAATATGACCTGGAACCTTTTATTAATTTTTGTTCCTAATTTATAATTTTGTTTGCTATTGTGTTTGAATTTTTATTCATATTATTTCTTCTATGATTATTATTGACATGTAAAAGAATTGCTAATTTTTGTGTATTAATTTGCTAACTATTCAATCATTGATTTCTCCTTTTAGTTTTCATAATTTTACAGTGATTTTCCTGTAATCTTCTAGGTCAGAGGTGGGGAATGTCTGGCCCGCGGGCCTGTAAGGCTTGTGAAATCATTTAGTCTGGCCCTACCAAAGCAACTGATGGCGGGATTCGAAATTCAATAAATCTAGAAGCTTTTTTTATAGCAACATAAATTTATATTAAGTGAATCATAATAATAACATAAATTTTGAGGGACAAGCAAGGAACATCCGTTACGGAATAGACAGGACACATACGAGTACATGATGGGACAGACGTAGGCTTCTCGTTGGCTGCCCTTGGCCCATCTGCCTGCATTGTGGTGACTCAGAGGACAGTCAGTGCCAGGCTGGCTGGGAGTGTACACATTGTGAAAGTATTAACACACCGTGGCGAAACTATGGCAATTCTGTGATGATGAGACGAGATGCGATGAGCTGAGTCCTCTCGATGTTGATGACCTTGCCTTGATGATTGACGACGATGTTGACACAGATGATAACTCCAATCCAACCTTTGTCCACATGTCCATGATCAATAATTCTCGCGAAAACTGAATCTCAGATGAAGATTAAGGAAATTACAGTACACAGAAAAGACCTCAAGAGTCAATGATGTGAACATTGGATACATTCCAAATCCAAGATACAGGATTAGAACAGCGATCAAAGCAAAATAATGCATCGCCAGCAAGACACACACTGAATTGTTATTTAAATTTAAGTGGTGTAACATCCTACAAATGGTGACTGCAAAGAAAAGAAAAGTTGATGCAGAGTGTCAATCTATTCAAGAGAATTGGAAAAATGATTATTTTTTGTTGACGTCAAAGGCAAACCTGTGTGCCTAGTTTGTGGCAATACATTAGCAGTAATAAAAAAACATCAGTCTGACCCGGCCCATTTGGTTCATTGGTTGAGTGTCAACCCATGTACCAAGAGGTTGCTGGTTCGATTCCTGGTCAGGGCACATGCCCAGGTTTTGGGCCAAATCCCCAAAGGGGGGGAAGGAGGAGGTGGCCAACCAATGTTCTCTCTCATCTATGTTTCTGTCTCTCTCTCCCTCTCCCTTCCTCTCTCTAAAATTAATAAAGAGAAAAAAAATTAAAAAGAAGTCAATCTGGAGCATCATTACAGCTCAAAACAGGCTAAACTCAATGAATTGGGAGGCCAGATGCATCTGGATAAAATCAATGCTCTTCAGCGGAGTTTGGAATCACAACAAGCCATTTTCACTAGGCCTCGTTGTGACAGAGACAACGTTATTCAGATAAGTTATGTAGTGAGCGAGCTGATCATGAAGAAGCTGAAGCCTCATGCAGAGGGAGAGTTTGTGAAAGGTGTGTGGTGGCTGCTGTGGCATTGTTAGCACCAAAGTCAAATTGTTTCAGAGTGTTAGTTCGTCTCAGAAAACCATCTCAGATCAGATTAGCACAAAATATTGAAAAAACACTGAAGGGTTCTGTAAGAGATTTCCATTTTTTCTCACCGGCTTGTAACAAGACGACAAACATAACAAATACTGCCCAATTGGCTGTTTTCATTCGTGGGCTAACTGCAGAGTTTGACACGTGAGAGGAACTGCTGTCACTGAAAGCCATGCATGGCACTATAAGAGTTGAGGACTTGTTTTATCAATGAAAAAACTTGAGCTAACATTTGAAAAGTTAAGTGGCCTTACTACAGATGGAGCTCCAGCTATAGTTGACTCGGGTTAATTGCATTTGTCAAGAAAGAACTGAATCCAAGTGATTTAATTGCAGGCCACTGCATCATACATCAAGGAAGTCTCTGCACAGTCACTGTGGTGCAACAGTGTGATGTCACAGTAGTGTCATGCATAAATTTTGTCAAAAGCAGAGGGTTTAACAACCGCCAGTTTAAGGAGTTACTGAATGATTGACTCTCAGTATGGTGATCTTGTTTATCACTGTGAAGTGCAGTGGTTGAGTGGTGGGAACATGCTTGTGAGTTTTGACGAACTTCAGGATGAAGTCGAGCAGTTTATAGAGATGAAGAGAGAACCTGTCAGGGAACTCAATGATAGCAAGTGGCTATGTGATTTAGCGTTCATGGTGGACAATACCAAGTACCTCTTGGACGTCATACTGCAGGGCCCCTATCAGCTTCTCAGCTCCCTGCTTTCAAATGTGAAATAATCTGAAGCTAAATTAAAGCTGTGGAAAGAGCAACTTGAAAGGAATAACATGGTGCATTTCCCCAGTCTGGAAGGACAGAAGCCTTCTACAACACTTGAATATGCTGATGAATGTGAGAAACTAATTGAGGCATTTAATGAAAGATTCAAGGATATGAAAAGTAAACAAATGGAATTGAGTATCTTTGTTACACCATTTAATGTGGAACCAGCTGATCTGCCTGATGACCTACAATATGAAATCATTCAGCTGCAAAGCGATGATGAGCTGAAAGCTAGGTACAACCTCCCACTGCTTGAGTTCTATAAATGTTACATAAGCAATAATGGATTTCCCATTTGAGGTGATAGGCATTAAAATATGCATCTGGGTTTGGAGCAACTTACTACTGGGAACAGTTCTTTTCAAAACTTACCATTGCAAAGCATCGGCTGCGCTCCAGACTGGTCATCGCAAACCTGGAAAAGCAGTTGCAAGTAGCAACATCGTCAATACCAGCTAACCTCACATGCCTCACCAAAGAAAAGCAGTTCCAGCCATCATATTAAGGGTGGGTTAAGTAAATGTGTGACCAAATACAATGGGCTAGTTTTCAAGTTGATAATTTTGTATGGCCTGTGAATGATGTTACACATTTCCAAATGGCCTTCTAGGTAGAGTGAGGTCATCTGCAAATGGAGTTTTTTGTTGCCTTATTTATAATATTACCCTCTATTATTTTATGAATTGATAGAACAATGTTTAGTTATAGTGATAAAAGTTCCCTTTGTCTTCATCCTGATCTTAATATCAATACTTCTGATATATAATAATTAAATAAAATCATTGGTTGTTGGTTGTTTATTTACTGAAGGAGCAAACATTTCTGACCCCTTTTGACCTATTTTGTGTGGTTACTCCTTGGGAACTTTCCCTTTTCACCAGGTTTTTTTAAAAAAAATTTCTTTTATCTTAAGCTGGAGGCAGAATGATATAGATTCCTGTTACTGTTTCTGTGACCTAGCAGAATGAGGAAGAAAAAAGTTAGGGAGGAAGCTGGGACTAGGTTGCATTTGTGTGTGTATGTGTTGGGATGGTGGGGCATGGGGAAGACCTCCAGGAGGGAAAGTGTATCTGTCAGACGTTTCTTCACTAAATCTGTTGAAACTAGTTACCCACGAACCAGTTCCCAGGATTTGTTTATACTTTTGTTCTGGCCTCTGCTTCAAACTAACTTCTAGTTTCTCCTACTGTCTGCTGAGTTAGGAAAGTTTCCTACCCTTTGGAGTGAGCATTGTACCATCAATTAACGATAGTTCTTTTTAATGTGGGGGTGAACCAATAGTAGTATCAAAACAAAACAAAACAAAACACTGTTGAGAGAAAATCTCTGGCGCCTTAGGGCAAGGACTGCAAACTCAAAACTCTACAGAGAACAGGCGTGGTAATGTAAAGGTCTAAAGCTGCCAGGGATACTGAGTCCTGTGGTCTGTGGCTGCCAGAGTGCTTGGCCTGTTGCCAGGTTGGAAACCTGGGCCCAAGGGTTACCAGACCTTCCAGGAAAAGCAAAAAAGATTTGGGGGGAGAAATCTCTAAAATTTTAAATGTTGAAAAAGATATTTTAAAAACACAGTGAGGACCAAACCCAGCGTGCCAGTAATGCATACAAATGGAGGCTCAGTGTGGCCAGTTGATGACTTCTGGGATTGGGTGGCTACTTGGGTGACTAGTT